TGAAACCTTGGAACCTTGGCACCCTGGAACCCTCAAGGATTCTGGAACCCTGCAACCTTGGAACCCTGGAACCTTGGAACCCTGCAACCCTGCACACCTGGCACCCTGCTGGGATCCTGGAACCCTGAAACCCTGGAACCATTGGAACCCTTGGAACCCTTGGAACCCTTGGAACCCTGGAAACCCTGGAAACCTTGGAACCCTGAAACCGTGGGACCCTGGTACCCTGGTACCCTGGAACCCTGGAACCCTGAAACCTTGGAACCCCGGAACCCTGGAACCCTGGAACCCTGGAACCCCGGAACCCTGGAACCCTGAAACCCTGGAACCTTGGAACCCTGCGACCGTGGAAGGCACCCAGGAACCCTCAAGGATTCTGGAACCCTCTGGGATCCTGGAACCCTGAAACCCTGGAACCCTTGGAACCCTTGGAACCCTGGAAACCTTGGAACCCTGAAACCGTGGGACCCTGGTACCCTGGAACCTTGGAACCCTTGAAACCCTAAAACTTCCAAACCCTAAACTCTATGCGCGCTGCGCGCGCTGCATGCAATAAAGTAAACCCTAAAACTTCAAAACCCTAAACCCTAATGCGCGGTGCGCGCGCTGTGTCCCAGAGAAGAAAACCCTAAAATTTCCAAACCCTAAACCATCGTGTTATGCAACTTCCAAACCCTAAAGTTTAACCCGCGGTGTGCGCGCTGCATGCAATAAAATAAACCCTAAAACTTCCAAACCCTAAACCCTAATGCGTGCTGTGCGCGCTGCGTGCCAGAGATAAACCCTAAAACTTTCAAACCCTAAACACTAATGCGCGCTGCGCGCGCTTTGTGCAATAGAAATAAACCCTAAAATCTTCAAACCTGAAACTCTCGTGTCATAGAGGTAAACCCTAAAATTTCCAAACCCTAAACCCTAAACCCTAACGCGCGCTGCGCGCGCTGTGTGCCATAGAAGAACCCCTTAAAATCTCCAAACCCTAAACCATCGTGTCATGGAGGTTAACCCTAAAACTTCGAAACCCTAAAGTTCAACCCACGCTGTGCACGCTGCATGCAATAAAATAAACTATAAAACTTCCAAACCCTAAACCCTAATGCGCGCTGCGCGCACTGCGTGCGACACATAAACCCTAAAACTTTCAAACTTTAAACCGTAACGCGTACTGCGCGCACAGCCTGCCATAGAGGTAAACGGTTAAACTTTCAAACGCTGCGTGCCATAGAGGCAAAGCCTAAAACTTTCAAACACTAAACCGTAAAGCAGGCTGCGCGCGCTGCGTGCCATAGAGTGCTCCTCAAAAGTGATTACATGTCATACTTTAGTGGCATCCTCCAAATTCATTAGTCAGCCTTTGTTAATCCAGGGCCCATTTTACACTTGTCATCTTCTTGGTCGTGGCGCCATTTCAGGATCACACTGATGACCTAAGCTTTGGCCTTAACTATTATGCAGGCAAGCGGCATCAGCACGCTATGGTATTGGAAGACACAGGGTTTGCCCGTAGACCAGCCAAAAAAAAACGATTTTCCACACTGAACAATTTTATTTAACACATTTAGAATAGGAGCTCCGCCTGATTCAGATTTCATCACTTAAAAGGTACCCATGCCTGACTAGCCTTCATGACTTAAAGCGTAACCACACCCGACTTAAGGGAACCATGCCTGACTAGCCTTCATAATTAAGAGGTACCCACCCACGCCTGACTTAACAGAACCCATGCCTGACTAACCTTCATAATTAAAAGGTACCCATGCCCCTGAATTCAGGGAACCATGCCTGACTAGCCTTCACAATTAAAAGGTACCCACTGGAACCATGCCTGACTAGCCTTAATGACTTAAAAGGTAACTACACCTGACTTAATACCTGATTTACTGGTTTTGCCTGATTTTGGAAAAACGCAGGGCCGGAATTTGCAGGGCGCGGGCCGGAATTTGCCGGGCCCGGGCCGGAATTTGCCGGGCTGGGATTTTGGGGTCGTGCCTAAATAGGATTTTTGCAAAAATCGGGCATGACTGAAGGGAACCATGCCTGACTAAACATCATACCAATCATCCCAAAAGAATCCAATAATTCCAGCAAGTGATGCCTGACCAATCCCTGCGTCATAATAAACCGTCTGCCCCTCCCCACCCAATAATGAACACACGGAATAGTTTTTTTGTATTTAGTGGGTATTTAGTATGAGGGTGCGAAACTTCCCCCTTGGTTAAAAAAAACTAAATTGGAAAACATTTTTAAAATAACATCTAACTAAAATATTGCCAAAATTGGATTCCGAAGCTTCCCCCTGACATTAAATTGAAAACATTCGTTTAAAAAAATGAACTTTATATTTCAAAACCGATTGAATTCCTATTCAAAATCTAACTCAAATCTTGCCAAATTGGATTTCGAAGCTTCCCCTTATATTAAATTGAAAACCTTACTAATCCCCACCTCCTTTTACTAAACGCACCCTAAATACTAAAATAATCTAAAATATTACATTGATTCCTTTTACTAGGGTCCGCGTTAAATTTTGGGAAATTTCAGGCTGGCCAGTTTGACTTTTAATTGATACCTTTTCAAAAACAAATTAAACATGAAGGTCCCATTTCAGGATTTCACCACCAAAAAATAAAACTAGTCAGCCCCGGTGATTTTTTAAACTAGGGTCTTTTAAGGTCGAAAAAATAAGTATTTTATATTACAACGTTTATATAATATTGGGGGAAAACTTCGAAATCCACTTTTTGGCATTTCCTGGCAATATTTTTGCTGGATGTCAAAAGGAAATCTAATCGATTCTTGAAATCGAAAAAACACAGTTTTTTTATTAGTGTTTTTAATTTAATCTTAGGGGAAAACTTCGAAATCCAATTTTTAGCAATATCTTAATTATATGTTAAACAGAAAACTAATCGATTTTGAAACAGTTTTTTAAAAATATATTAGGGCTGGTAATTTAATATTAGAGGAAACATTTCGAAATCCGGTTTTTGTTTTTATTTTTGTTACTACAATTTAAAAGGAAATCAAATCGATTTCAAAAAAGAAAAAATAATATTTTATATTAGGGTTTTTTAATGTAATATTAGGGGAAAACTTCAAAATCCAATTTTTGACCATATTCTAATTAGATTTCAAAAGGAAATCTAATGAATTTTGATATAGAAAAAATAGTCTTTGATATGAGGGTTTAATATGAGGGGAAAGCTTCGAAATCGAATTTCTGGCAATATCTTAATTTGAATTTACAAGGAAATCTAATCGATTCTGAAATAGAACAAATTTAGTTTTTTATATTGGAATTTTTCATGCAAGATTAGGGGAAGCATCGAAATCCAATTTTTGAACATATTTTAATAATTGGATTTTAATTTGATATTAGGGGGAAAGCTTCAAAATCATTTTTTTCATTAGATTTCAAAAGGAAATCTAATCGATTTTGAAACAGGAAAAAAACAAAATGATATTAGGGTTTAATATAAGGGAAAAGCTTCGACATCCAATTTTTTGGCCATATTTTATTTTATTTTTTAAAAGGAAATCTAATCGATTTCGAAATAGAAAAACATACATAGTTTTTTATGTTGGTGTTTTTTATTTGATATTAAGCTTCGGAATCCACTTGTTTGCCATATTTCAATTGGATTTAAAAAGAAAGAAATCTGATCGATTTTGAAATAGAAATATGTGTATATATATATATATATGTGTTTTTTATCAGTATTAGGGGGAAGCTTCGTACCCTAATACTAAAGACCCCCCCAATACTAAAAACTCCTCCAGGTGTTTGTTATTTGGGTGGGTGGGTGAAGGGGCGACTGTTTAGCAACAGGGGGTAGGGATTAAACCGTTTTTTGTTTCTAATTTCAAAATCCATGAAAATAATCTTTAAATAGAATACTGCCAAGAATAGGATTTCGAAGCTTTCGCCTAGTATCAAATAAAACACCAACACCTGAATTAAAAAACTAAAATTGACGATTTTAAAGGACGGACCCCAATAAAAGACACCCCGGTGTTGACTAGTTTTTTATTCTTTGGGGGTGAAACCCTCACATGGTACCTTCATTTTTAAAATTGTTTCCTCAAGGGGATCAATTAAAAATCAGATTAACCAATTTGACATTTCCCAAAATTGGAAATCGCACCTAGTTTTTGTCATTTGGGGGTATTTTTCGTATAGGGAGAAGGATTAGCAAAAAGAATGCCTGATCAAAATGATGCTGATTCTGTGTGTTACAATCTTTTTGCCCACTACAGTGTCTACAGGGTTACAAGGGATGCCGTGCCAGCTAGAGTCCCAAGTCCATTCAACCAACACCCTAATCGATGAAGTTGGACTTGTTGAAATGGAAGTGGGACTGGACCAGTTGACATGGGGCGATGCTGACCTTCAACGGGAGCTTCGGCGCCTGAAGGACAACAGTTTGAAAATTCCGAACCTGAAATATATTTTCAAAATTGCCTTACTAAGAGTGATCCCCACCCTGACACACTATTCTGACATAGTTTCTGACATATCATCTGGACGTATATGTGGCATATACGTTCTGACATACTATCTTACATTCTTTTCTGAGATTCTATTTGACATTCTTTCTGGCATCCTATCTGGCATCTATTCTGACATACTTTCTGGAATATATACTATATTCTGATCCTGCCTTGCCATGAGTTTGGGCTGGGAGTGCTTTTATTTGCGTGGATCAATTATCCACCAAATGTTGGTTTCACATGTTTGCACCCAATGATTGCCATTACCATTGATACCCCAAAATGGCCAGGTCCTGAATTTGAGAGTAGGTCCTGAAAAGTTTTCTGGGTACTGAAAAAACAGGACTTTGGCACAGGGTCTGAAAAAAGACGTAGGTGGAAGATTCAGGTATGCTGTTGGGTTGCAAAGCTGGGTTAATTCTGAAATTTCACCGGGGCCCGCGCAGCTCTGTCCCAACTGTTTTCCCTCAGCATAGTATAGCATAGTTACTTTCTGTTTGTGTTTCCCTGCAGGGCAGCTGGAGCAAGCACTATTTCTGCCTTGGTGGATGCTGGGCTAAGACTTGATCATCTCTGCATATTCATTTACTTTCGCCTGGGGTTCATGGGAGTGGTAGATCTCCTTGGTGCTGAAGAGCTTGACAAGTTGAGGCGTGCCGGGATGCAGCGCAGTGGATGGAAGCTTTGCAAATCTGCTTGGATTTGGCCCAAGGCGCCCAAGCCCAAGGCGCAGATTGACCAAACCTGGGCGGTGGATCGGTGGATCATCACCAAGGTCCGCCAGTTTGGGTTCACCTTAGCTGCCTTAGCTGCAGGTGAGAAGGGCCTGTGGGAGATGCCAAATGCCCTTGGGCTGCTGTTGCTGGCCGCCTTTGAGCGTGGCTCACAGTGGCGTTGGGCACTGCTGTTTGCTGAAGGCAGCACAGAGGGAGTGGGGAAGTAAGCGGACACTGTGGGAGACTTTTGTAAGCAGACCATAGCAGACCTAGTTATGTCAACAAATGGAAAGTCTGATCACTTCCAGACTTCACGATTCACGATTTATTTTGGGGAGCTTGCACCAGACAACATGCTTTTGCAGGGCAGCACTTCCGAAGATTTTGGGTGAATGATTTTTTTTGGCCAAAGGAAGCGAGAAGGCAGCATGTACTGCTATGAGCGCATGTGTGCATGGCTCCCAGTGGTCGCGTGCACTGCTGCTGCTTCAGAAGGTGTCTCCGTTGAAATTTATGCTGAGGGAGGGGTAGCGGCTGAGTAATCCTACTCATGCCCATCACTGAGGTCCGACAAGGTCCTATGGCACCAGATGCAGTGACCCTTACCACAGCTATGTCCGCTTGTGGACGTGGGCGGCACTGGCGCGGCGCCTTGCACATTTTGGAGGAAATACGACGTGGCAGCTGCGCTGATGCCGTGTCCGGTGGCATAAATGATGATGTGTACTGTATTCGTCACATAGGACTACCCAGAAAAACGTTTTCTCAGTGCGTTTCGAGGAGTTGTGATGTTCCACGGAATTGTTGCTTTCGTTGGGACATTGTTTCACGGAAATGAGGGTAGAAGGTACATGCCTTGATGCCAGCACCTGGCAACCTGAATTGATCTGAAATGGGGACACAATGATGCATTGTTTGAAAGGATCAACCAGTGTGATATTCATCACATACTTCAACTTTCACTTTCGTTTTCCTTTCACATTTTCCAACGTTGATTTTGGCTCTGTGCATGCCATCATCTCTCTTCAGAAATGGTTGGGCTCCATTGCTTGGCTTCCCTCAAGGATCTTAAGGGTTGGGTGTGCACCAAGGGCGTTGAACACCGCCCTTGGTGCCTTAGCTGCGGCCCAGCGCTGGCAACTCGCTGCCCAGCTGTTTGCGAATGAGAAGGTCCCGCAGCAGGGAGCTTTCCACGCCCTGCTGAGCCACCTGGCGACGTTGACCCACTGGCTCCCCACTTTTTCACTGTGTTTTTTTCTCACCATTGGTTTGGAAAGCTAGTCTTTAGTGTAGATCGTCGCGATGCCGTGAGCTTGCACAGCTCAAGGTGCAATGGAAACGTCCGCTCTGTGGTGGCGAGCGCTCTCACTCTTCCATGTCCCTTGTCTTGAGTGGGATCTTACAATCCTCATCCCTTAGGGGGGGCAATTCTTCACCTGGCTTCGATTCCAAGTTTTGGAGGAGGTCAAGCTTCACCCTGCTCTTCAGATCACTTCAGGTGGTTGGATTCCCCAGGTTGTTAGATGTGATCATGTGGCAAACCCAATAATAAAACCATGCCCAGGTTTATTCGGTATTCCCCTAGTTGGGATGTAACGTGACCCTCCAATGGTTGGTTACTCGGGTGGTTTATTATTGGGTTTACCACAGTTTACCACATTAGTTTGATTTCCATTCAATCTCCATTTGGTGGATTGCGGCCCGAGGAGGCCACGAAAGCAGTGTCCTTTCCGTCCTTGGTGGCGCTGAACAGCGTGTGCAGCGCTTGTGAGAAGGCTGTTGGGTACCTATAAATGCCATGGCTTTAGGGGGGGCCCACATCCATTTTAGCTAAGCGACTGTGGTGCGAACAGCAAGGGTACCAGGGTTTTGACCCAATCATGGATGCAACCCCATTAACCAAGCATGACGAAGCCGGATTTGATGGAGAATTAGTGATCACTTGTAAGTTATGTTATAAGTGACATCCTGTTTTGCCAGCAACCATGCGGCGTAAGATGTCTTAACCATGCTTAACTGACGACTTCTTCCACAGATCCCCCTGTGCTCCACGCGCCCAACTTGGCACCTTCGCCAGGCCAGTGAGTGGGAAATGGCCTTGGCTCTCTTGAGAGGCTTGGACCTTGGACAAGTTCTGGTGGGCGAATCGCAGCAATGACCAACAGAGCACTGTGCAGTGAACTGCATTTATCCTGGTTGGTGGTTTCAGCTTTTTTTCCCCTCTCGCTCTCTCTGTGTCATTCAGATTTTTACACTGCTTTCCATCCCTGGGATGGCGATCCTCCGAGCAATTCGGAGTACTGCGGCAATCCCCAGGTCCGGAGCATGATGCCATCAGCTGCAGCGCTGTGAGCTTGGCCTGCAGCCAGGCTTGGGAATTTTCTACCACCAGCAGACTCCCTTCCATCAACTGCCAGTGTTTGGTGATGTTTGGTGACGTTTGGCGCCCTCTATCCATCTTTAGCCAAAGAAAAAAATCAGAAGCAACGGAAGATGCAGTGACCTGCAGGCCTCGCGCTGGTCCTATGCTCTCTGCCTGTCAGCACCTGATGATTTGCCCAGTCGCAGCAAGCTGGTGAGGAAGGCGGCGGACTCTGGTGTCTTGACCTGCAGTGTAACATGGATGTGCCTAGATGCACAGGGCCATAGGACCATTGGGCCAATTGGGATGCTGATGGGATTTTTGGAGCATAAGTTTTTGGATTTTGGAACCTAAAGCCATTGGAGCTGGTTGGATGATTTGCGCCACTGCCGCCACTCATGTCTTCTCAGGTGCTTCAATTTTTGTGCCATTACAACAGAATCTTCTCATGACTGCAAGTCTGGCTGTTCTCAGCTGCTGGGTTGCATGGAACAGATGTTGCGTGGTGGGTGGTGCGTATTAAGCTTGTGCAACTGTCGTGGTGGCTGGTGACTGTAGCGCAAAAGCAAGCTAGCGGCGAACACTGTCGATGCTGTGAACGAAGAGCGGGTAGAGAAACTGGAAGAGGAATTCGGATAGGCACAGAGGGATAAGATTTATGTGATTAATATTGATTAACTAAATGTCAATCGAATGGCTTTGCGGTTTGGCCCCGGCCACGTAGAATCGAAGAATGGGCAGCGCGGCAGTTGTCTCAGCCGAGGCTCATCAATGGGAGCTCCTGCGGAGGAGTGCTTTCTGACCCACTGTGCAATCGCGGGACATATTTTTATACCAGTAGTACCGCACAAGGCGGTGGCGGAAGTTTCAAAAATAGGAAACCTATAGGAGAGATCTGGCTGTAGATGTAGATTCAGATTTAGATTCTTAGATCATAGATGGATGGATAAGATTAGATTACATTAAATTAGATGAGATTAGATTGATAGACGGATAGATAGATGGATGGATGGATGGATGGATGGATAGATAGATAGATACAGATAGATGCGGAAAGATGCAGATCAAGGCAGATAGATACAGATAGACACAGATAGAAGATACAGATAGATACAGATAGATACAGATAGATACAGATAGATACAGATAGATACAGATAGATACAGATAGATACAGATAAATACCGATAGATACAGATAGATACAGATATACACAGGTAGATTCAGATAGATATAGATATAGACAGACAATAGATAGATATAGATAGATAATACACTAGATAGATAATACACTAGATAGATAGATCGATAGATAGATAGATAGATCGATGGATGGATAGATAGATAGATCGATAGATAGATCAATAGATAGATAAATAGATAGATAAATAGATCGATCGATCGATAGATAGATAGATAGACATAGATAGATATAGATAGACATAGGTAGACATAGATAGGTACAGATAGATACAGATAGATACAGATTGGTGTAGATAGATATGGATAGATATAGATAGATATAGATAGATAAGGATAGATAGATAGATAGATATAGATAGGAAAAGATAGATATAGATAGATAGAGAAATATATAGATAGATATAGATAGATATAGAATGATATAGACAGATATAGATAGATAGATAGATAGATTGATTGATTGATTGATTGATAGATTGATATATATTTATATATATAAATATAGATATAGAAAGATATATATATATAATAGATAGTTATAGGTATAGATAGGTGTAGTGAGAGAGAGATATAGGGATGGAGATAGAGATAGAGATAGATAGAGATAGAGATAGATAGAGATAGAGATAGGGATAGAGATAGAGATAGATAGAGAGATAGAGATAGATATAGAGATAGATATAGAGATAGATATAGAGATAGATATATAGATATAGAGATGAGATAGAGATAGATAGAGATAGAGATAGATAGAGATAGAGATAGATATAGAGATAGATATAGAGATAGATATAGAGATAGATATATAGATATAGAGATGAGATAGAGATAGATCGAGATAGAGATAGATAGAGATAGAGATAGAGATAGAGATAGAGATAGAGATAGAGATAGATAGAGATAGAGATAGAGATAGATAGAGAGATAGAGATAGATATAGAGATAGATATAGAGATAGATATAGAGATAGATAGAGATAGAGATAGATAGAGATAGAGATAGATAGATATAGAGATAAGATAGAGATAGATAGAGATAGAGATAGAGATAGATAGAGAGATAGAGATAGATATAGAGATAGATATAGAGATAGATATAGAGATAGATATATAGATATATAGATATATAGATATAGAGATAGATAGAGATAGAGATAGATAGAGATAGAGATAGAGATAGAGATAGAGATAGATAGAGATAGATATAGAGATAGTTATAGAGATAGATAGAGATATAGAGATGAGATAGAGATAGATAGAAATAGAGATAGATGGATAGATTTTCCATCAGCAGCCCTTCTCCAGGAGCGCTTCCTTTCCATCTCCCTGCTGCAGCTGGAGCCACCTTGGTGGCTGAGACGTGTAGGCAGCGCCATGGACGTCATCGATGCGCGCAGCAGCGCTGAGCAGCAGAGCCTGGCACAAAAAGGGGCCACACAGCTGGCAATGCTTGGCTTTTCCTACAAATTTCTGCAGTAAACTTAATGATTACTGCAATGCCTGGGAGTCCGAGTCCTTATCATTTTCTTTGCCCCCTTAACAACTTTTGATAACACGCTTGCGGACAGATGAAGACAGATGTGTGTTTTCTGAGGCGTAGCATCCTCAACGGCTTGCGAAAGCTGAAATTCCACTGCCAGGGCCAGGTGGAGGTGCCAGACAGATCCTACACCTTGGAATTCCTTGATCAACTTCGGAAAGAAGTGGTGTAATGATGGTGTAATGAGTGTAATGTTTGGTATAGTTTTGTAACATTGTGTGTACATTGTGTGTACATTGTGTGTACATTGTGTAACCGTGTGACCCACATGCACGCGTGTTTGTGGCACGACCAGCTAGCACCGGAGCCTTGCAGGTCTTCCCCTGCATGAAGGAGGCCAACAATGCTGCCATTTGGCAGGCATACTTCAATTGCGTGCAAGACTCGGCATGTGACGTCCTGGCCAATGGGTACCCCAGGTAGCTTCAAACGTGTTGGAACATCTAAAATGCTCCATTCTACCTTGGAGGACGATGCCTATGGATTTGAACCCTCTTATACAACTTTTTGGGATTGTCAGCCCATGTCAGCAGTGCAGCCCAAGCAGTATGTGCCGGCAGGGAGATGCTGGCAGTTCTTGGATGCTTTCGATGTTTATTTTTCCGACAGTGGATCCAATTTGGAGCAATTCACTCGCCATGTCTCGCCTTTGGATCAAACCTGGGGCTGTGCCTGCGCTCAGTGCGACACTTTTTGGGCCTTCAGTGAGAGGCGTTACATGTTTCAGATTGCTGAGGACTAACAAGAATATAATTTTTTTGGGCGCGAATTCAGGGCGCAGTGTTGAAATGTATTAAACTCGCTCGTAGCACACTCAAACTCACAACTTTGAAGTAGATTGAGACATTTTGAGACCCAAACCACCCGAAACCACCTGGGCCCGATCGAGAAGTGGCCACACGTGAGGCGGGGTCTCCAGTTGCTCCAGGGAAGGATTGGTCAATGTCTCACATTTTAGCCACCTCCAAGATAGAAAAGTCATTTGCCGCTCAACTTTAGTAGGATTTTCCTTTGTGATCATACTGAGGGTTGCCATATGTTGATTTTTTTCAGCATTTTACCATGAAATTGCCATTGGAGGTCCCCCTTATGGACAAAACTATGGTCCTCAGGCCGTACGACCACAGCCCCAACGGTGCCATGCTGGGATCTGGGGTACTCAGTACGGAGTTCCTTGGATGCTTTGGGAGTCGTGCCTTTCTAATACACTGCCCATGGAAGAATGTGGAAGATATTGAACATGGAAAATCATGATTGGATCTATGGAAAATCCTATCATGACAGACATTGAGTCGAATGGAGGATTTACCAATATTTGCCATGATTTTCCAAGGATTCCTAGGCCTGACTGAGATGCCCATGCGTTGAAGAGCACTGTTTTGGAACAGTTTTACTTTTGGTGAGAAGGGATGTGCCAAGGCTCACGCAGTCGCAAACCTTGGGCGAGGGACAGGTGCCGTGATGTGCCGTGGGTTGTGGGAGACTCTGATTACTCCAGGCGCATCGGCGCATGCAAATTTCACCAAATTTCCTTTCTTTGATTTCTTCGCATTTGGGCATAAAGCAGGAACTAGACCCTTGAGAAGAGATGTGGGCAGATTTTAGCCCAGCGTGAGTTTGGAAGGTCTGAATTGAGGTCTGAATTGACAGTCTGGCCTTTCGCGCATTGATATAGGACCTCTACCTTCAAGCACATTGGGACATGTCGTAACTCTCAGTGATCAACCGATGCCTTTGCCCCTGCAGTCGAAGTTGGCATCATGGCTAGAAGAGCAGCTGACTTTCGAGCGTTACTTGTCTGAAGATGCTGACCATTGGCCACCGGACTGCGAGGTCGGCAGGCCGTTACCCACAACATCATGACACCAGCAATCATTCTCAGTCTTCCATCACCTTGGGATCGACCGAACCAGAAGCCTCAGCCCACATTTTCCGACAGCTGATGGCCTTGATCTTGCGAATGAGGTCAAAGGCTGCTAGAGGACCTCGAAGCACGACATATGCAGATGGTTTTTGAGCCACTTGATTGCATGGCCGCTGCGTGGCTCGTTCCAATTTCTAAGCTCATTTTGTTCCTTAACCGGATACTCTGGGTTTCAAAAGGGGAGGTAGATGAGTTCCTTCAAGGCGAGATATCCATGGTCGCCCATGCATTTCTTTCATGTGTCGGCTGAGGCTCGACCAACGAATCCACAAACCTCGGAACAGAGGTGATAGCCCAGGGCCGAGCCGCGCGGGCACCGCTGGACGGGCCCGAACTCCCAATTCTCGGCGATTGCAGAATGCACCCACCGCCAGCAGCATCAACAGTCCGTCTGCCAGCCAACAGGTGTCCAGCCAGACTGTGGAAGCAGTTCTTCCACCCAGGGAGCCAAGCTTGCCGAAAGTAGAGAATGTAGTGAGTAGACCCGGCAGTCCAGGGAGTCCCCTGTCATCCAAGCCTCGGCCAATGCTTCCGGCCCTGATGATTAGTGATCCACCTGCTGCGCCAGCAGGACGATGCTGGTTTGTGTTGATTGGGACTGTCAGATACTGTCAGCATGTTCATGGGTACTGCTTGGTGGTTTCAAACATCAGCTATTTCCCATCCCACCTGGGATGATCACCCCGCGCCCCCAAGCAAGTTGCAAAAGAGTTCTTACTTTGCACCGTTGAAGCATTTGTGATGATTCGAGTGGCCAGGACCGCAAGTAGATGCAATTCTGCCAATGGAACTGCCAACTCAGCCAACCCTTACTGTGGAGGCCCGGTGGGCACAAATTTGGTGTTTTGTCAACTCGGTGCAGTTGCTTCTGCCAGATAGATGCGCAGTAGGGAATACCAAAAGCTATTCAATGATATTAAGTCTGCAGATGTATGTAACAACATGGAAATGAAGAATTTCAAAGATCCTCTTTTTCATCCACTTGCAGTCCAAGCAGTGGATTTTCATCTCTCTCTTACTTTGGGACAGGAGGCCGACGAAGGCGACAAGAAGCACATGCAGTTGCCAGGCCAGGTGAAAGATGAGGATGAGGATGCTGAAAGTTTCGCTCAGATGCAGGCGGGGACACTGGGCATCACTGGGCACCAAAGGATGTCCGGCTTGGTCTGAACATGATGGAAAAACCAGCGAATCCACTGGTTTACCATCATTTTCCCTATTGAGATATGGCAACTTTTGGGGGGTAGAGCAATTTACCCCATTTGTCAGACGCACTTGAATGGCCACTGGTACGTTGAGAATGTAGAGAGCAGTACTGGTATGACCGATGTGACCGTCGATCTCATCACGCTCGCTGAAGCTCAGGTCACTCCCGTTGCAACGAACCGATCCACTAGGTCTGGAGGGGACTTTGACACTGCCAGGCTGAGGGGAAGCCACAGCTTGCAGCATGTCAGCACCTGGGAGATTTCACCTCCCAAAGTGTCTGAGGATTCGGAATGTCATCAAATTCTTTGAATAGTGGCTCCATCTGGGTCCTGGGGTTCCCCACCTTCACACACCAGGCGCAGGAGTGCCCGTGCAGAGGACGGGAGATTGGGGTGTGACAAGAGATTGCTGGCAGCGCAAAGCTGTATTATATTATATGATATGGTTTCATTTCGTGACGACGACAACCACGACAATCACAACAACGACGAGGAGGAGGAGGAGGGGGAGGAGGAGGAGGCGGAGGAGGAGGCGGCGGAGGAGGAGGAGGATGAGGATGAGGTAGAGGATGAGGATGAGGATGATGATGGTGATGATGACGATGATGATGATGATGACGACGACGACCATGGTGATGATCTTGATAATGGCGATGACGATGATGATGCTGGTGGTGGTGGTGGTGGTGGTGGCGATGATGACGTTGATGGTGAGGATGGTGATGGTGATGGTGATGGTGATGAGAGCCTGATTCACATTCATGTTCTGGAAACCAGCAACCAACTGCACATGAGACAGGGCCCGGGAGACATGGCACTGGCTGAAGCGAACTGCCTGACACGGCTAGTCCAATCGGGTTCTTATGATATGTGCTACCCTCCGGCAATTTCATGCTATATATTTATATATATATATATTGTATAGGCAAATCATCTTTAAATGGGCTGTTTCCCATAGATATGTTGAATTGCCGGAGGTAGATTTTTGGGATCGAGAATCGTACAACTAGGGCACGGACAATCAGATCATGATGCGAGAGAAATCTATCTCCTTCCAGGAAAACGCCCGTGAATCTCGAAAGTCCATCAAATTGCAAAAAGCTGCAAGTCTGAGGCGGGTGATTGCTCAGCACTGCTGTAGCAGAGATCTTTCAACAGCAGGTGAGATGAAATGGTTCAGTTTACCTTCACTCCCGGAATGGCCAAAAGATGTGCACCTGGGGTGGTTTCCACATGTTTCAGCCATTTCAAAGACTTCTATTCTTACAGTTTCTTACAGTTTCTTACATTTTACACTTAGGATGTGTGATGCCAAGTGACTGGTATTTTTTGGGATGGGTTGAACCTCCAGACACAGCCGAGATGCTGCTGGGGTCACCGACACGCCAGGGGAATGAGCTCCGACCAGTTGTATACGCGACGAAGTGGTATGGCGCCAACGCCATCAGAAAGCATCACTACACAAAAGAGACGAAACCATGTCTGCCACTCAGTGGTTCCCCATCATTGTTTTAAATTCACACATGCAGATAGATTAGATAGATAGATAGATAGAAAG